CATAACCTAGTTCCTAAGCATCCAACCACCAAGTTCTAGAAATACCATGGCCTAGTTCCTAAGCATCCAACCACCAAGTTCTAGAAATACCATGACCTAGTTCCTAAGCATCCAGCCACCAAGTTCTAGAAACACCATAACCTATTCCTAAGCATCCAGCCACCAATTTCTAGAAACATAACCAGTTCCTAAGCATCCAGCCACCAAGTTCTAGAAATACCATAACCTAGTTCCGAAGCATCCAACCGCCAAGTTCTAGAAATACCATATCGACTATTTATGGTAACTCATTAAGTGCGTTGGTGTAATGCAGTGTCCTTTCTTCTGAATGGCATCCCAATGCACCTACCAATGAATGTACTTGTGTTGCACTGCCAAAACATGGTGTGTGCATGGTGTGAATAGGCTCTTAGGGAGAAGGAAGTTTTATGCTGCTCTAAAAAACCCAAAAGTACCAGGTGTTGTGTGCAGCTTCCAGGAGCATGGACAATCATTGGTGACGCATTAATGGACTAGTCCTCATACACTACGGTCTCCTTCTACACACATAATTATAAATGCCAACTTCAGCCCATGTGTAGATGATGGAGGAGGAACCTCCAAAGACTAGTAAATCAGCTTTTTGGAGGAAACAATAGACAACAGTTGTTGCCCATCAGCTTCATCATACCCAAAGATATGGATCCAGAATTGGCCAATGAGAAAAATTCTTTCCCTGCACAGTTTTTCAGTCCATTGGCAGAGCACAATAAATGTCATCGAAGGAGTTAATACGTCTTGTCACTCTTGATGTACACGCCATTGACTTGCTCCCGGTTCTGTTACCGAGCGATAGATAAGCAGACCATTATCAGATACTCGTCATCTCAGGTCGCAGGTTAAAAAATTGCACTTTGAAAAGGTCTGGAGAATTAAAAAGAGATTTTTTTTATGGCAAGCAAACCTTTTAGTCACTTTTCTGTTTGAGTGGAATAGTTTTAATGTAATATAAAAGCCTAAAGGAAATGTCCTCCTTGTTCTAGGACACATCAGGTGTACAAACACAGAAGGAACACATGATTTAAAGTGGGGTTCAACCCAAAACCAAAAATGTAATATATTAAAGCTTACAAAACATTAGCTGTGGTTTCGGCATTATTTATTTTTTACATTTTTTTGGCTTTTCCCCTCGGTTTTCACCTGGTGATCTGTCCAGTAACACACCTCCTGTATTAGAGTGTCCCCACTCTGGAAGAAGGAGCACAGGGGGCATCTTTGGACAGCAGCATTTTTAATCTGGAGGAGAGTTTTAGAAGCTTTAGCAGATTTAAATACACTAACAAATTTTAACCAAACTCCAGCTCACACTGCAGTTACACAAGCAGTTCCAGCAACAGCTTTTTTTTCTGGTGGTGTAAAGGTTTTACACGAATAAATAAAAGCTGATCATTGTAAGCACTCCTGTCAGTGGTAAATGATTTGTCTCAACACTAACTTGCAGGACAGCTTGTTCTGTTGAAAAACAGGCTTACTGGCTGGATCGTTAGATGAAAATAAAGGAAAGAAAGCCTAAAAAAAGGAAACAAATTCAGCCATCACATCTAAGAATAGGTAAGCTGCAATAAAATAAATGTTTGCTATGTTTTAACACTGCTTTAAAGGTGACCATAGACTTGAAGTGAACCTGTTCTTTGTTCATTGAGGGGCAGGCAAAAGGTTCACTCTAATAGTGGCCCCACCAGCGACATTTATTTTGCTCCCCTGCTGCTCTGATTGGCCACTGGCAATGAAGAGTTTTATCCAAGCACTGTCACCTGGTAAGGAAAGAGGAAAAAAAAGGAAAAAGGGGAAAAAAAAAAAAAAAAAAAAGGAGGAAAAAAAAAATTAAAAAAAAAAAAAAAAAAAAAAAGGACAAAAAAAGGGAAAAAGGACAAAGGAAAAAAAGGGGGGAAAAAAAGGAAAAAAGGACAAAGGAAAAAAAGGGAGAAAAGAAAGAAAGAAAAGGAGGAAGAAAAAAGAAAGAAAAGGAGGAAGAAAAAAGAAAGAAAGGAGGAAGAAAAAAGAAAGAAAGGAGGAAGAAAAAAAGAAAGAAAGAAAGAAAAAGAAAGAAAAAGAAAGAGAAAGAGAAAGAGAGAAAAGAAAGAGAAAGAAAGAGAAAGAGAAAGAGAAAGAGAAAGAGAAAGAAAAAAGAGAAAGAAAGGAGGAAAGAAAGAAAGGAGGAGAAGAAGAAAGGAAGAAAGAAAGAAAGGAGGTGGAAAGAAGGAAGAAAGAAGGAAGAAGGAAGGAAGGGTAGTTGACATGTTCCCCATACCCGGAAGTACTGGCCACTTCTTTTTACTCCTGGTGGCTGGGGAGCGAAGGGTAGGTAAGTATGTAAATACTGCTGCTAGGCTGCCATTAAAGTGAACCTGTTGCTCTGTACCGCATGTGATGATGGATGATCACAGCCGTTCACAACACTGCCCCTGACTACCTCACCAACCTGATCACCAAGTACCACCCTACCCATACCCTTCGCTCCTCACAGGACCTCCTTCTATCCTGCTCCCTGGTCTCCTCCTCCCATGCACGACTGCAGGACTTCTCCAGGTCCTCCCCCATCCTCTGGAACTCACTGCCCCAATCCATCAGACTGTCGCCTTCCCTATTCACATTCAGGCGCTCCCTAAAAAACCCATCTCTTCAGGGAAGCCTACCCCACCCTCACCTAACGGCCATCCTCCCTCATTCCTCCCACCACTTCATCCCCCTCAGCCACTTCCTACTGTACCTTTACCCCCTCCCTCCTAGATTGTAAGCTCGTAAGAGTAGGGCCCTCTTACCCCTCGTACGTTGTTTGTTGTTGTTGTACTGTGCCATGTATTGTCCCCCCTATTGTACAGCGCTGAGCAAACCCTTTGGCGCTATATAAACTCGTAGTAATAATAATAATAATAATAATAATCACATTTGCACGTACGGTATAATCCAACTATCCTCTAATCATTCTATACGGTTTAATATATATATGCATGTCACCATCATACATCTTTAACTGAATAGAAGGCATATGGGCAGGAACTTCCCAGCTCTATCAGGAGAGGTTAGTAGCGAATGGAAAAAGTTGGATGGAACCCACCTATCAGAAGAGAGAACAATGACTGCAAGTGGTTGGATGGATCCCACTTATTAAGCGAGGAAACAGTGATTAGTAAATATCGAATAGATCTCGCTGATTAGGAGAGGGTCATATGGATTGGAAAAGGTGAGATAGATCCTGCTTATTAGGAGAGGGAAACAGTGATTGGTAAATGTTAAATAGGGTAATAAGAATTGGAAAAGGTTGGATGGATCCCGCTTATTAGGAAAGGGTAACAGTGACTGGAAAAGGTTGGGTAGATCACACTTATTAGGAAAGGGTAAAACTGATTAGAAAAGTTTGGATGGATCCCACTTATTAGGAGACAAACAATTATTTTAAAAGATTTGGTGGATCCTGTTTATCAGGAGAGGGTAACAGAGATTGGAAAAAGTTGGAAATACTGTATCCCATTTTATGGGAGAGGGTATTACTGTTTGGAAAAGATTAGATGGATCCGACTTATTAGGAGAGGGTAATACTGATTGGAAAAGGTTACATGGATCCTGCTTATTGGAAGAGAGAAACAATTATTGTAAAAGGCTGGATGGATCGGACTTATTAGGAGAGGGTAATATTGATTAGAAAAGGTTAGATGGATCCCACTTATTAGGAGAGGGGTAATACTGATTGGAAAAGGGTTGGATAGATCCTGCTTGCCGGAGAGTGTAACAGTGATTGGTAAATGTTAAATAGATCCCACTAATTAGGAGAGGGTAATATGAATTAGAAAAAGTTGGATGGATCCAGCTTATTAGGAGAGAGAAGCGGTGATTGGAAAAGGTTGGATATACTATACCCTGCTTATTGGGAGAGGGTCCTGTTGATCTCTGTGGTAGTTCATTGATTCTTCCTGTCAGTGTAAAACGGTCTGCTCATACCAGGTACAAGCAAACAGATACACTGACGGTCTGCAGGAGTCCTGCACGGCACCAGAAAGCTTCTACTTACAGCTGCAATGTTTACTGAGCTCCCAAAGAAAAAAGTAAAATGCACATTTTTTTTACCTGCAAAATTTATTTTATGTTAACGGCTTCCTGTCCGCCCATTGCCTATAAATGGCAGACGAGAAACAAGAGTCAATGTGGGCTAAAGTACCTGTATGTCAGTCTGCATCAGAGGCTCCTGCGCAGCTCACAGTGCACGCATCTGGAAGTCCGGTGGTCCATGTGCCACCCAAACACAGCGGATCACATTACTGCTGTCCCGGGTGATCACATGGTATTTTACCATGTGATTGCTGTGTCCAATCACATCAATCATAGTAAACATTAACAAGTGAAAGTAAAGATCTGTTCTCTCTGCTCTCACTCTGAGGGAAGAGAGAACTGATGCTACAGCCTGTGAGTGTACAGCCGCCTGTGATTTTTCACTCACAGACTGCATTATCAGCCACCGCTGTGTCCCTGATCACTGCCCCAGTGTAATAAATAATGCAGCCAGCCCCTGTCACCTGTCCCCGTGTCACCAGTGCTAACAATAACACCACCATACACCATACCAGATCACCGTCATTCACCATATCAGCGCCCTGATCATTGATGTACCCCATATAAGCATCCCGATCTCCGCTATACCCCCGTGCCCGCAACCCAATCTCCGCCATACCCAGTGCCCGCATCCCAATCTCCGCCATACCCAGTGCCCGCATCCCAATCTCCGCCATACCCAGTGCCCGCATCCCGATATCCGCCATACCCAGTGCCCGCATCCCGATATCCGCCATACCCAGTGCCCGCATCCCGATATCCGCCATACCCAGTGCCCGCATCCCGATATCCGCCATATCCAGTGCCCGCATCCCGATATCCGCCATACCCCGTGCCCTCATCCCGATATCCGCCATACCCCGTGCCCGCATCCCGATCTCCGCCATACCTCGTGCCCGCATCTCGATCTCCGCCATACCAGCATCCCGATCTCCGCCATACCCCATACCAGCATCCCGATCTCCGCCATACCCCATACCAGCATCTCGATCTCCGCCATACCCCATACCAGCATCCCGATCTCCGCCATACCCCATACCAGCATCCCGATCTCCGCCATACCCCATACCAGCATCCCGATCTCCGCCATACCCCATACCCCATACCAGCATCCCGATCACCGCCATACCCCATACCAGCATCCCGATCACCGCCATACCCCATACCAGCATCCCGATCACCCCATATGCCTTACCAGTGTCCGGATCACCACCATACAGTGTACCAATGTCCTGATCACTGTCATACCCCATACTAGCATTCTGATCAACACTATACCCCATACCAGCATCCTGATCACCGCCATACCTCATGCCAACTTCTAGATCACAGCCATACATCATACCAGCATTTCGTACTTTAGGGTCTCAACTGATCAATTTCCAAATATATATCCCATAGTTTTGTAGAGTCTATAACTTTCATACAGACTAAATAATAAACACTGTTTTGGGCTATTTTTACCCCAAAAATGTAACAATATAATTTGGCCTAAAATTTCAGAAGAAAAATTATTTATTTGCAAAATTTTATAACAAAAACTTGGAATTTTTTTTTATTTTTGATATGTTTTCATTTATATAGCAGAAAATAAAATACCAGTGGTGATCAAATACCACCAAAAGAAAGCAGGTTGCATGGTCATGCAATTGTCAAAGTGCGACTGTGCTGAAAGCTGAAAATTAGCCTGGGCAGGAAGGGGGTGAAAGTGTCTGGACTTGAAGTAAAAGGTGAACTTATCCTTTAAAGCTACACTTTAGCAATGGGCAAACTACGGCCCGGGGGCCGTATACGGCCCGGCGGACCTTTTAATCCGGCCCGCGGAGCTAGGCTCCCCTCACAGTCCGCCCTGAAGACCGGTGTAGCATGAAAATCTGTCTCCTATGAGGATCTGTCCCCCTCGACGTATCTGCGCATGTGCCGGAGATCGCCGATCGGCTGCTAATGCCTGAAACTGGCACATGCGCAGATACGTCGAGGGGGACAGACACTCATAGGAGACAGATTTTCATGCTACACCGGAACGGCGTGGGAACACGGCGAGAGGAACGCGCGGAGCAAAGGTAAGTGAATTGACACAGGGGGGACTTGGGGACTTAATATGGGGGATGAATTACTATATGGGGGATGAATTACTATGGGGGATGAATTACTATAGGGGGGATGAATTACTATATGGGAGATTGAATTACTATATGGGGGATGAATTACTATATGGGGGATGAATTACTATATGGGGGATGAATTACTATGGAGGAGATTGAATTACTATATGGGGGATGAATTACTATGGGGGATAAATTACTATGGGGGATGAATTACTATGCTTAATATGGGGGAATATTACTATACTTACTATGGATGACACATACACATCATTCATCTACTCTTGGTCCGGCCCCCGGGTCCAATATATGAACCCATTGCGGCCCTCAAGTCAAAAGGTTTGCCCACCCCTGCTTTAGACAGATATAAAATACACAAATTAAAGCAGCTTTGTAATCAATAGTACATAACTAAGGCCCAACTCCAGACAAAAAAGGATTTCCATGCAGTGGGGCTGTGCCCATACTGTGTAGGTTAACGGATTGTTTTTGTCTACGGAGATTGGAAACAGATATACTTACCCTAGCCTCTGATCAGTCCCTGCCCACCCTCCCCCCCGCTGTCTAATGGTCTTCTGTGGTGGACTGTTCCTGATGTCATCAAGCTCATAAATCTGCTCTGGATGTGATGACATCAGGAACAGTCCACCACTGGATTGTGGAATGTAATTTGCCGCTAGAGCAAAGGATCGGGTGAGTATAAGCTTTCTAGTTGCCCCTTGACAAAACAAGCAGTTAAAACCTTTTTTTTTTGCCTGGAGCTACACTTAAATATATTTTTTGTATCTTACAGCAACATAGGTACAGGAATTTGATGTGGTTTCAGTCTTTACTGTACAACAGGGCTTGAGTCTAAGAGAAAGAAGCAGCATAAGGATCGATGGGTTCATGTGCTGAGAAGAAGCATGCTGACAGGGATATTAACCAGTTCAGCTCCAGAGGATTTGCCCCCCTTAATGACCAGGCCTCTTTTTGCTACTCGACGCTGCACTAATTCAACTGATAATTGCGCGGTCATGCAATGCTGCACCCAAACGAAATTTACGTCCTTTTTTTTCACACAAATAGAGCTTTCTTTCGGTGTAATTTGATCACCTGTGCGCTTTTTATTTTTCATGTTATAAACAAAAAAAGGCCAAAAATTTTGAAGAAAAACAATATTTTTTACTTTCAGCTATAAAAAATATATAGTAAACTCAAAGTTGGTTATAAAATTTAGGCCAAAATGTATTCTGCTCCATGTTTTTGGTAAAAAAATCCCAATAAGTGTATATTGATTGCTTTGTGTGGAAGTTATAGCGTCTACAAACTATGGTGTAAATACTGCAATTTACGCCATTTTTCTGCTATACAGCGCTGCGCTAGTTTAACGGACAATTGCGCAGTCATGCAATATGGTACATAAATGAAATTTACATCCTTTTTTCCCCACAAATTGAGCTTTCTTTCGGTGGTATTTGATCGCCTGTGCGTTTTTTTTTTTTTTTAATCGCGCAAAAAATAAAGGCTGACAATTTTGAGGAAAAAAAAACAATATTTTGGACTTTTTGCTATAAAACATGTCCAGTAAAAAAAAAAAAAAAAAAAAAAAAAAAAAAGCAAAAATAAATTTTAGTCATAAATGCTGCCAAAATGCATTCTGCGACATGTCTTTGCTAAAAAAAAAAAACCAATACGTGTAAATTAATTGGTTTATGTGAAAGTTATAGTGTTTACAAATGGCGGGAAAGATACTGGGATTTTTAGGTTTTTTTTTTTTTATACTAATAGTGGCGGCGACCAGCGACTTATGGCGGCGACCAGCGACTTATGGCGGCGACCAGCGACTTATGACGGGACTGCGGCGGACATCCTGACATTGGGGGGTACTGACTTGGGGTCACTGACATCCCCAAAAACACTAATACAGTGATCAGTGCAAAAAAAAAAAAAACACTGACACTGTACTAATGGCAATGGGGAGGAAGGGGTTAACTTTATTTTGCAGGGAAGGGCTATAGGAGTGAGGGGAGTGTTTTACTAGGGGGCGGAGTGTGTACTGGACGGGACAAGGCTGATCGAGAAAGAACAGTTTCTCTTTCTCGATCAGCTCATCCTCGAGCTGACAGGGAAGTGACAGACAGCACAGCTACTTCAGCTGTGCTGTCTGTCACTGTTTGCTGCTGATCGCTGGGAGATAGCCGATAAGGAGCGGCTGTGACCCGGCGACTGATATCTGCGGCGGTGATCGGCGGGACAAATAGGGCGGCGGCGCGCCGCCTATTTGTTTACAAAACACGTTTTAAAACGTGGTTTTGCCTGTGAGTGCCGCCCTGCCGCCGTATATATACAGTGGCTGGGCGGCAAGTGGTTAAGCAGAGTGACAGAGAGATGAGCTCATCACTGTGCCCCTTCTCCATTCACTGTCCAGTCACAGTCGCGGACAGGTCCTGGACTGACTGGGCTCAAAGGAAGTTTGTTAAAATGATGCTGGCTGGAAAACTGAGGACATCTAGTGGCAATAAGTATTACAAAAGACAGATCTGGATTGAAGGTGAATATTGCATCAAAAACAGCTTTTTATTTTATCTTTTAATGGGCTATTCACTTGATCTTGTGAGTTTTGCTTTACCTGACAAATTAAAACTTTTCAAATTTGATTTTTTTTCAGTAAATAAAAAAGTGAAGCACAAAATTACTATACATCCCATTTAAATCTTCACAGCTGGCACCTATAAATAGTTAACTTTCCCTTTAATTGCTGAACTTCCATCAATTAAATACACAATTTCAATAGAGGCAGAGGGGTTTGTTAGGTAAGAGAGATGACAGATAGCTGCAAGGCCGCAGGTGATTCAGTGGATTGGTGGAAAGAAAGTAATGAGATTTTTAAGACTCCAGACTGCATACCAAAGATAATGGAATGAGCCCTGGAGAGTCGATAGGCAGCATGTTTACTGGTATAGTGCGAGGACGTCATTCCTCCGCCCACTCTTCATGAAGACCGCGCAGTTTTACTGGTATCTACAAAAAGGTAATAGAGTGCTGGGAATGGCTTGATAATTACTGAGCCCAAAATAAAGACCCATCTCTAGTGATCATATTATATCTAGTACTTGAGATACGAGATGGGAAAGGGCTCAATAATATGGTACATCCTGGAGCAGAGTTTTTTTTTTTTTTTTTTTTAATTATTCATCCCAAAATCCATAACCATGCTCAATAGGTTTTTTTTTTCACAGAAGAATGAAATATGTCCATGAAATGTAAGATGGTACATTTTTTATAAAATTACTGGAAGCTTGCTCTTCTATAGGTTCACAAATGAATGGAAATATTAAAGGGGTCAGCTGCCTCTTGAAAATATTAGTTGCCTGCCAGGGCCAGATGTAGCTTATCCGATCTGGGGGTGTAGTAAAAAAGTCAGGGGGTGTAATGCCAACACTGTATGAGTCACTAACAGTCTGTCACACAGTGTCACAACCTGGGAAACACTGATATGTATGAGGTTGACATTAGATGAGGGTGATTAAACAGAACCTTTGCCTCCTTATGTCAGATGTCTATCAGAGGCACACTTTACATCAGGAGTGTCATCAGAGTCCCTGTTTACATTATGAGTACTGATCACAGTCCCCCTAGATATCAGGTGTCCCCATCATAGTTACATAGTTAGTCTGGCTGAAAAAAGACAAAAAGGCCATCCAGTTCAACCATTTAAAAAAAAACCCAGCAAAGCATGATCCAATTTGCTCCTGCAGGGAAAAAAAATAACTTCCTGATCCCCCGAGAGGCAATCAGACATTCCCTGGATCAACTTTACCTCTAAATGTTAGTAGTCAAAGTGCCCCCAGACATCAGGCGTCCCCATCAGAGTGCCCCCAGACATCAGGCGTCCCCATCAGAGTGCCCCCTGACATCAGGCGTCCCCATCAGAGTGCCCCCTGACATCAGGCGTCCCCATCAGAGTGCCCCCTGACATCAGGCGTCCCCATCATAGTTCTAGTTAGTCTGGCTGAAAAAAGACAAAAGTCCATCAAGTTCTATTATTTAAAAAACAAAACCCAGCAAAGCATGATCCAATTTGCTCCTGCAGGGAAAAAAATTCCTTCCTGATCTCCCGAGAGGCAATCGGTCATTCCCCGGAACAACTTTACCTATAAAGGTTAGCAATCAGAGTGCCCCCTTACATCAGGGTTCCCATCATAATCCCCCCTTACATCAGGTGTCTCCATGTGAGTGCCCCTTTACATTAGGGTCCCCATCAGAACACTCCCTTACATCAGTGTCCCATCAGAGTCTTCCCTTAGGTCAACTGTCCCCATCAGACTGCCCCTTATATCCGTGTCCTCATCAGAGTGCCCCCCTTACATCGGGTGTCTCCATATGAGTGCCCCCTTACATCGGGTGTCTCCATATGAGTGCCCCCTTACATTAGGTGTCTCCATATGAGTGCCCCCTTACATCAGGTGTCTCCATATGAGTGCCCCCTTACATCAGGTGTCTCCATATGAGTGCCCCCTTACATCAGGGTCCCCATCAGAACACCCACTTACATCAGTGTTCCATCAGAGTCTTCCCTTTGGTCAATTATCCCCATCAGACTGTCCCCTTATATCCGTGTCTTCATCAGGTGTCTCCGAAACAGAGTGACCCCTTACATGGATTGTCCCCATCAGAGTGCCTCCTTACCTGCATCAGACTGGCTCATAGATCAGTGGATGCACACTGAGGGACATAACCCACCCCAGCACCCCCCTAGATCCAGCCCTGTTGCCTGGTATTCTTTGGTTTCAATAGTTTCTGAGTCATGGACCTAGAAAGAGAACGAAGATCAGGAAAATCAGGGAGAAGTCAAGACTCCGGATCTGCATACCTGTTCACACCCTTAGTCACTACCTAGAAAGTACTGAAAAACCATTACAAGTTTAAAATAAAAAAATGTACCCATATTACTAAAAGAAAAAAATGTGCATTTATTAATTTTATACATTGGAGCATACAAAGCATTGCAACCATGGTCAGTGCATTACGGGTGCAATTCACAGGCTCCTGCAGACTATTTGTCCAGCACCGGGTCCATACAGAGCTATAGAGGAAGTGGTCAATGGAATATCAGTGCAGTGACGTCAAGGCACTTGTGTTCCACTGAGAACTATGAATCCTTCTGCTACAATGACAGATAGGATTTGTAGTTTTTCAGTCACAGATCCTGTGAATGGATAATGTGGGTGTGTACGGAGCCACCAAATTCAAAATTATGCAGATTGCTGTGGGAAAAAAAAACCCCACGACTCAGGTAAGGGATGAATGCACTAAATGGCACCATGTTCGATGTTACATCCTAAATATGGATATGAAACATGGTTTGAAAGGTGGAATTAGCCATTATGATTTAGCATGATAGCCAGGGAACTAGTATTTTCAGAACGAGAGGTCAACAATGGCACCCTCTATGGTTCCCTGGTGCAGGTTTCCTTTAAAAGTGGCAAGCAAGCAGCAACTAGTGAAAGCAAGCACATACTTGTAGAGCTGTCTGCATGCTTGATTACATAGTTTGCAGATCTGGGGCTCCTATAGTTGAGTCCTTGGGGCTCCTTAGCTTGTCTATCCCTTGGCAATGGTCCCACGTCAGACTTATGTGGGAAAAAAAGCAAACACCAGAGGAAGCAGGCAAAATACCTTCCCTAATAGGTGTAACTATAGTCAGAGTTGACCATGTACTTGCTATGGGCCCCAGAGGAATGGGGGGCCCAGCACTGCCTGGCTACACCAAACAGAATAGTATCTGCTTTGTCTAGGTGAGTGAATGACTAAATGTTGGTAAGTGCTGGTATCAGAAATCAGCAGCAGGGATGGCCAGATCTGCGTGGGCACACTAGGAAACGGAGACCAGGCTATATATAATAAAGTAAATGTATTGACAGTGAGACCAAAATCCATCCAGACACCAGCAAAACAGAAAACTTAAAGATACAAGTGAAGAATACATGAGGAGTGACAATATACCCAACAATCTAACCATAATACAATATATATAAAATGAGGAACACAGCAAGAAGGGGGGGGGGGGACAGGACTGGATTTAGGAACAAGGGGAGCAGATATAAGGCTGAAATGTACAGTGTACAGGATGCAGGGGAAGAGCAAGATCAGGAGCAGGATAAAAATGGCAAGCAGCATCTGACTAGCAAAGCAAAACACTGGAGCGAGAGGGAATTTTAGAGAAGGAACTAAATACCCACCCAGCAACCAGCATCAGGTGGAAACTGATCACTGGGATCGGCTGGCTGCTGGGAAACAAGTACTGGTGAACACCAGAACTACAATATTCCTGTCTGAGAAGCACAGTGCCTTCAGCAGGTGATCCAGGTCCTGACAGCTGGTAGCCATAGAGCAGCTGTTGGCAGTAGTGCCCTTTTATTTGTTGACTCTCCTCTTGATATAGTGGGTGAAGTCTGTTTCCTTCCAATGCCAGCTATGGGTGGGGCCTAGCAGCTCGGATATGGGAACAGGTCAACCCTAACTAAGTTTATGTAGGAATGTGGCATTACTGCCAGGATTTGGAGGAATAGATATGGATGCTGAGGGAAGAAGGAAGGTGGGGGAACCTTGCCACCCCTGACCTTCGCCTAGCAGGTTGCTGGCTTGGTTTAGGATGGCTTCGGGGCCTGAGACTGAGGAACACCTTGGGTGTGTAACCACCTTTGGGGATTAACTGGAAACAAATGGGAAAATGGGTGGATGTTATGGTTCTGAGTAATTGTAATGAGTGTTCTCTGTGCCACGAAGAGGATGTATTGCTGTGTGTGCCTAGTTGATGCAGTAAAGTATTGAAAATTGGACATTATTTCGAGTAACAGGCTTTAGACTGGGAATATGGGAGAAGGCGGGCCTCAGGCCAGGAGATTGAGTGACACAAGATGGCGGAGTATCTCCAAAAAGGCATGTACGTGACCAGGGGCGGACTGACAACTCATGGGGCCCCTGGGCAACAGGGGATCATGGGGACCCTGTGTCCTTGCCCAAACTCAAAAAAGCCTATAAAAAAGGTACCAGGGGCATCTCATGGGGCCCACTACTGACCCCGGGCACTCGGGCAGTGCCTGAGTTTCCAAATGGTCAGTCCGCCCCTGTACGTGACTATCACATCTGGAGAAGAAGAGGGACAGGACCTGGGTCAGCTTGCCACAAACCGCTTTCCAATCCAGGTCCCTTACACAGGTGTGGCGAGATATGTGGTTTTGCTCAGAGAACAACAGACTCAAAACGAAGTGAAAATAATGTGATTTAGCAGCAGTCATAATTAACATAAAACACAACAAATAATATAAATACCGAAATACGGCAACAATACAAAAACCCAGTGAACTTATGTAAAGGTGAAACAAACCAGTGCAAGAGAATCCAAGTAAAGCAAAAACACAAGTAAAAAATACCTAAAATTACCTAACTAAGCTATGAACAACATAAAATTAGTGCAGCGCTAAAAGTAGTGATATTAAGAAAGATATAAGTCCACTGAAAAGTCTTGGTATTGGACGTGTCCAGTGACAAATGAGGATTCAAAATTGGTGATCCGTGTGGAAACGGCTGAAAAACGCACTCACCAGAAGCAAGACACATAAACGCAGTGTGCATCTAGAGCTCATGGATCCTCAATCCAGAAGGGGATAAAGCTGGTCCAGTTACAGGAATGGTGGATCCCTCCTCTGTGGATGCAGCAACAGATCCTCCTCTCCCCAATTAGGTGTAGGATTCCAAGATCAGGATTCTGCAAGCAAAAGCTCCTCAGGGGAGTTTTAGGGAAGGACACCCATAGTGTAGTAGGTTATAAAAAGCAGCTTTATTAAAAATTATAGTATCCAATTCAAAGTAAGCAGGTATCATAAAGATGTGTCAGCAAGACAAACTAACCCTGACACTCTGAATAATGGCCGCCGGGCCTCCATGTGGCTCCGGCGGCGTAGCGTCTCGACGTCCAGGCTCCTCCTTACGCGTTACGTGCGCACGCACATCTTCAGAGGTATGGAACCATTGGCGTGATGACGCGAATAGGCGCATATATAAATGACGCATGCGCGGTTACGTATGCGCCAGTGTGCAATAACTAAGGCGCATGTGCGTGGCTCCGTCTTCCATTTTAATGGAGCTCAGACACAGGATAGAAGGGCAAGAATGCCCTATAATTGACAGATGAATGTCAGTGAAGACAAGTTCAACAACGGTGTGAAATACACCTATTTGAAAGACAATCTGATTCAGATCTATATAAAAAAAATATATAAAATAGGCGCGATAGCGCCAATGTGTTGAACTTATTCCAATTAAGTAGTATAATTTGAGTATGTATATATACATGCGTCATTATATCTTTGCAAGTTAAAAATTTATCAACATACAAAAAGACATCATATGTATAAAAGTTATATACCAGAAAAAAGTTCTCAGAGGATAAAACTAAAATAAAATAAAATAAAACTGCAGAGCTAAATCTGCACTAACCCCAAAACTAATGACACATGTGAGAATCATTAAAGATCAATAGAAATTGCTTAGATAGAAACGCATGTGAGAAGGTCAATCCATGCGTCTATAAAAAGGAAGAAATTGATTGTTTAAATTTACGTCACCCATTAGCAATGAAGCAGTTAAGATCTAAGTCTATATTAAGCCCCTTTATGGGAAGTACCCAATTCGAAAATGTGTTTAGTCTCCAGCTGGGAAACTGCTCTCACTTTATGTGTACCCCTCCAATGTGGGGTGACTAAGTCGATCCCCACAAACTGAGTGATGTGGGATCCCTATGATGGAAACGTCTGTAATGTAGGGATAATGAATGGTCTTTATATCCTTTTCTGATGTTAGCAATGTGTTCCCGAAGGCGGTTTCTAAGCCTCCTGGTGGTCCGGCCAATATATTGTTTGGAGCACGGGCATTCAAGCAGATAAACTACAAATTTGCTGTCACAACTTATAAATTTATCTATTTCATATGTCTTGTGTGTTTGACTGGAACTATAGGTATAGATTTTCTTCTTTCTGCTTCCATTGCATTTGCAGGCGATGCAACTATTACAGGGGTAAAATCCTTTCATATTAAACAGTGTGAGTGATTTAACAGGAGGGTTAATAATGTTAGGAGATATTTTATCTCTAAGAATGGGCTGGTCTCCGAAAAATTACTTCAGGTGTATCAGGAAGTATGTTACTCAAAACTGGATCTGATTTTAATATATTCCAATTTTTCTTGATGATATGTTTAACCGCTCTATGTTTGAACAGAGAAGGTAGTGATAAACGGACAAAAAATGTCATTTATTTTCTTCTAGAATTAGTACCTAAAAGTTCCTCCTGACTAATCTGGGTGATTTCTGTGATAGTACTATCTAGGGACACCCCATTATAGCCCTTCTCCAAAAACCGTTCTTTCAAAATATTAACTTTTATCTGAAAATCTGTGGTGTTTGTACAATTTCTTCTCAGTCTTAGCAATTGTCCTTTGGGGACATTAGCAAGCCAGCTGGGATGATGGCAACTATCCAAAGGAATATAACTATTCCGATCCGACAACTTGAAAAACGTTTTGGTGATAATTTTGTTGTCTACCCTCACCAAGGTGAGGTCTAAAAAACTAACTTCTTCATGACTGAAGTTATAGGCGAGTCTGATATTGTGATTATTATAATTCAAGGTAGTGAAAAAGTTTTCTAGCGATTGTGTATCCCCATTCCACACAACAAAAGAATGTCGTCAATGTATCTCCTATAGAAGACCAATTCTGGCCAGTCCTGGAGTATATAATCTCTTCCTCCCAGAAGGACATAAATAGATTGGCAAGACTGGGGGCGAATTTCGCCCCCATAGCCACACCCTTTATTTGTAAATAATATTTGCCATCAAACCACATGTAATTCTTAACCATTGCAAATTCAAGTAGTTGTATAATGAAATCAATATGTGTAGAACCAAGAGGGCTCTGCTGTCTTAGGTAACATTCTGCGGCTCTCATTCCATCTGCATGGTTAATGTTATTGTACAGCGATTCAACATCTGCTGTAACCAATATTGTAGATGGAGTGATAACTACATCTTTAATGGCATTTAGGACTTGTTTTAGTGTCCTTGAGATATGACGGGGTGTGGGACTACCAGTGGCTGAAGATAATGGTCTATGTATTGCCCGATCTTGGAGCAAAGGGAATTGATCCCGCTGACTATTGGCCTTCCCGGGGTTTCAAAGGGTCCTTGTGAATCTTAGGTAGGATATAGAGGATTGGTATTTTAGGTGCCTTGGGACAGAGAAAGTCCCTTTCCTTTTTGTTGATGATATCTCTCTCAAAGCCAGTCTTAATGATAGCTTTCAGGGCGTTCTTAAAGGTCGTTGTAGGATTATGATTGAGGGGAAGGTATGTGGAGGAATCTTTCAAAATGTTGTATACTTCCTCCATGTAATCCTGTTTATTAAGGACTACTATTCCTCCACCTTTATCCGTGGGGCGGATGACCAAGTCGTTTTTTTTCTAACAGTGTTTTAGTTGCACGTTTAAGACTTGCATCTGCATATACTTTTTTAATCTGTAATTTCTGTAAGTCTCTTAAGGTTTAATCTCTAAAAAGGCCCACTGCAGAATTAGTTTGTGGTGGAGGGTTGAATGTAGATGCATTACTGAGGTTAGAGGAATTCCTATTTTTATTCATAGTTACATCTTTAGCAATGGGATTGGTTTGGAAATGTCTTTTTATGGACAATTTTCTAGCGAACTTGTGCACGTCTCAAATTTGTTAAGGGATCTAGCAGGTGCGTACTTTAATCCTTTATCTAGGAGCTTCAGTTCATTATCTGAAAGGGTTGTAGTACTCAGATTAAAGATACCTTTACCTATTATACCTTCCTCCTTTTTTTGGGTATCTATGTATTCTTCTTCCTCCTCTCTTTCCTCTTGGTCTGCGCTCCTCTTTCTTATCCTGCCTGATCCTAAAAAACGTTGTTCCTGATTATTATAATAATGATAATCATTAGTATTATGGACCCTAGGAGTTACTGGAGGGTAATAGTTAGGAGCAGGATTTCTCGGAGGGTTGTAAGATTTTTTGTGTGTTTTTTTATAATTCTTTTTCTGATTTCTTGGAGAGGGGTAGTACCCTCTATCATTAGATTGTATCTCAGGTCCCTTTCGGTAATACCCCCCATGCTGAGCTGGTCTAGCAGGGCTATGTTGATAGTTCCTCTCAAGAGGATATGGTTGGTTAAAATTTTGCGGCGTATGGTAGTTATTGGGGTGCCACCTAGAGTCTCTAAAACCCACATTAGAGTCAGGTAGATTGGATAATGGTTCAAACCTATTAGAGGTTTTGATCTGATAGTCATTCTTATTGCTATTAGCATTTCTATTCCTATTTTTATTTGAATTTTTCCCTTTTGGGAATGATGACTTAGGTATAGGAGGTTTTTGGGGACCTAGGTGTAGGTGCTGTGACAGGTATCTGCATGACATCTTGGGGGTCCTCTTGCCATTTAAAAATCAGTTTAGACTGGTAATCGTTTAGATCACGTTGATACTTTTTTCTTTTTTTTTTTTTATTCTTTTGTTTGTTTTCTATGTGCTCCAGGTGTTTCTTTAATTTGTTAGACTCAGAGGTATATTCCTCATTATTTTTGTAGGGGATTAACCTTTCCCTAACTATGTTGATTTCTTTGTCTAACATGGCCAGTTTCTTTTTCTTTCTGGCAATGATGAACTTCAGCAGATCTAAACCAGCTAAGTTAAAATACTGGTGCCATTCTGCCACTGCTGCAGTATCATCAGAGTCAGGAGTAACATTCCACCTAAGGGCTCTCGGCTTGCTAATGTCCCCAAAGGACAATTGCTAAGACTGAGAAGAAATTGTACAAACACCACAGATTTTCAGATACAAGCTAATATTTTGAAAGAACGGTTTTTGGAGAAGGGCTATAATGGGGTGTCCCTAGATAGTACTATCACAGAAATCACCCAGATTAGTCAGGAGGAACTTTTAGGTACTAATTCTAAGAAAATAAATGACATTTTTTGTCCGTTTATCACTACCTTCTCTGTTCAACATAGAGCGGTTAAACACATCATCAAGAAAAATTGGAATATATTAAAATCAGATCCAGTTTTGAGTAACATACTTCCTGATACACCTGAAGTAATTTTTCGGAGACCAGCCATTCTTAGAGATAAAATATCTCCCTAACATTATTAACCCTCCTGTTAAATCACTCACACTGTTTAATATGAAAGGATTTTACCCCTGTAATAGGTGCATCGCCTGCAAATGCAATGGAAGCAGAAAGAAGAAAATCTATACCTATAGTTCCAGTCAAACACACAAGACATATGAAATAGATAAATTTATAAGTTGTGACAGCAAATTTGTAGTTTATCTGCTTGAATGCCCGTGCTCCAAACAATATATTGGCCAGACCACCAGGAGGCTTAGAGACCGCCTTCGGGAAAACACATTGCTATCAGAAAAGGATATAAAGACCATTCATTATCCCTACATTACAGACGTTTCCATCATAGGGATCCCACATCACTCAAGTTTGTGGGGATCGACTTAGTCACCCCACATTGGAGGGGTACACATAAAGTGAGAGCAGTTTCCCAGCTGGAGACTAAACACATTTTCGAATTGGGTACTTCCCATCCAACGCAGGGCTTAATATAGACTTAGATCTTAACTGCTTCATTGCTAATGGGTGACGTAAATTTAAACAATCAATTTCTTCCTTTTTATAGACGCATGGATTGACCTTCTCACATGCGTTTCTATCTAAGCAATTTCTATTGATCTTTTAATGATTCTCACATGTGTCATTAGTTTTGGGGTTAGTGCAGATTTAGCTCTGCAGTTTTATTTTATTTTATTTTAGTTTTATCCTCTGAGAACTTTTTTCTGGTATATAACTTTTATACATATGATGTCTTTTTGTATGTTGATAAATTTTTAACTTGCAAAGATATATAATGACGCATGTATATATACACATACTCAAATTATACTACTTAATTGGAATAAGTTCAACACATTGGCACTATCGCGCCTATTTTATATAGATCTGAATCAGATTGTCTTTCAAATAGGTGTATTTCACACCGTTGTTGAACTTGTCTTCATTGACATTCATCTGTCAATTATAGGGCATTCTTGCCCTTCTATCCTGTGTCTGAGCTCCATTAAAATGGAAGACGGAGCCACGCACATGCGCCTTAGTTATTGCACACTGGTGCATACGTAACCGCGCATGCGTCATTATGCTTATATATATGCGCCTATTCGTGTCATCACGCCAATGGTTCCATACCTCTGAAGATGTGCGTGCGCACGTAACGCGTAAGGAGGAGCCTGGACGTCAAGACGCTACGCCGCCGGAGCCACGTGGAGGCCCGGCGGCCATTATTCAGAGTGTCAGGGTTAGTTTGTCTTGCTGACACATCTTTATGATACCTGCCTACTTTGAATTGGATACTATAATTTTTAATAAAGCTGCTTTTTATAACCTACTACACTATGGGTGTCCTTCCCTAAAACTCCCCTGAGGAGCTTTTGCTTGCAGAATCCTGATCTTGGAATCCTACACCTAATTGGGGAGAGGAGGATCTGTTGCTGCATCCACAGAGGAGGGATCCACCATTCCTGTAACTGGACCAGCTTTATCCCCTTCTGGAATGAGGATCCATGAGCTCTAGATGCACACTGCGTTTATGTGTCTTGCTTCTGGTGAGTGCGTTTTTTCAGCCGTTTCCACACGGATCACCAATTTTGAATCCTCATTTGTCACTGGACACGTCCAATACCAAGACTTTTCAGTGGACTTATATCTTTCTTAATATCACTACTTTTAGCGCTGCACTAATTTATGTTATTCCATTTTAAGTACATATTGGTTGCTTAGAGTGCTTAGCCGCTTTCAGGACTAGCGCTCACTGTTGTGTTTTTCTATTTGATAAGCTATGAACAGACAGTGGGATGAAATGGGCAAGAGTAGGATAGATTACTGGTTACATAGACCAGACACCATGGGCACAGAGGCAAAACACTGAGGAGCCTAGAGATTCTTAAGGAGATAAATGCCCTCCCAATAACCAGCATCAGGTGCACACTTATTCCTAAGACCTGCAGGCTTCAGTTCCTGGTGGACTCCGGAACTACGCCTTTCAGGTCTGGGGACCACAGTACCACCAATAGGTGCTCTGGTTCCTGACACTTATGTTATGAAGTACAGTAAGTAAAGACAGTGGGGACCATTCTCCTTAAAAAGTGGCAGTTCCTGTATCCTGACCCTGAGAACTTCCCATTAAAGGAAAACTGTACCTTGCAAAAAAAGAAAAAAAATTAGTGTAGCACCCTCTAGGGTGCTACTAGAAGAGTGTAGAGTATTAAAAGGTAAAATCATTGTTTATGGCTCATAGTAGCTGTGTGAGTCATATGATTAAAGTCGTGTTATTGCAGGTCAGCTGGATGACTCTACAGGTTGTGGCTCTATTGCCTCCTCCAGACTCTTGAGGACCATAGAACCTTCCATAGGTCTAATCTGCATGTTTATGGGGGGTCCAGCCAATCCAAGGTTTGGAGGCCCTACTAGAGTGGTGGACTGGCCTATAAAAATGGGGGAGTCAGGTGGAAGATGGAGTGCTAAAGGAGAGACTGTTGGTGCCTAGGAGGGGTCCCCTAGGTCTGGGGGGGGCCTCCAGGCTGGGCTCGGCCTGGCTCAGGAGGATACATTCTGTGCAGAGGCATGGATGGGAACAGGCCTGGAGCAGCAGGGAACAAGGAGGACAATGCGAATATAGCAGCACACTTTGGGATCTACAATGGGAAAGCCTGCCAAAAGTAGCAAGATTTCCAAGGACAGCATTGAGCTAAATCCTTTATCCAGGAGATCTTCCGAGAAGCCAGGAGGGCTAGTAGTTCTTGTAGGCTGGGGTGCAGCTCTGCAGGGGGAGAGAAGACATCCTTGCATGTAGCTACAGGAAGTAAAGTGATTATTGAGGGTCTGCTAGCTCCTCGCTTGTAAGGCGTAGTTGGGAGGGGGTATGTGCGTGTTCCAGAGAAGCTACTGCTATTAGGCCTCAACAGGTGCTATGGTCTGAGGGCCTCAAGGAACCTTGTTGGAGGAAACATGCTTGTGGAAGTTGGGCTGGAGAGGTAAACCTTTCACTGAAGAGTGCTGCAGGGGAGCAGTGCCTAAGCTGCCCCTGAGCATTGCAAGTAGGACCTGTAGCTCCAGATATGGAAGTACTCATTGAGGGTGGGACGCCAGAAATTGTTGCGACTACTCAGGGTTACAAATTTACTGTCTATCAGCATAATTTTTGAGTCTGCTATTACAGAGCCTAATATTGCTTGGACAAGCTTGATGCCATCCTCCAAGATTTGTGAGTCCCCTGGGCATCCTGCATCCACCCTCCTCCCTCCATTTCGCGCAGGGCCTGCAATAAATCATAAAAATACCTCTAGACTGGGCCTGAACTGTGTGCTACTGGAAACAGGATGGACAGTATATTTCTGTAGCACCATCCTAGGCAGCTAGGGGGAGCAAGACTCCAGTTGCTAGCTAGGGCCAACTAGCAGCTTAGGAGTAATAGCTAGCATGGGGTCAAAATTGGGTCAGAGCTGAAAGGCTCTGCAGACCAGCCCCTCTGGAATTTCACCCTGCTCTAGAATTTTGGAGAAAGGTCTAGAAGCAGTGGGTGGGATTTGAGGAGTGGCTGGTTTTGTACTCTTAAAGGATCCTGGCCAGTCTCCAAGAGGAGGCTTGGCAAGGGGCCAGGACAGCCTTTAAGAGTAATTGAGTCTGCTTAGCCGCAGGAGAGTTTGGGAAAAAAAGGGAAAAAAAAAAAAAAAAGTAAGGGGAAAAAAGGGGAAAAAAAATCAGTGGGAAAGGGGCATGAATTAGCCTTTTACCTGGGACTGCTCACACTGTAGTGACAGGCACTACATCCGTGCCCAGGGATTCACCTAGATCTGCTGGATTGAGGAGGGTCTGGGGTGGTACATCAGGAGAGGCTGGCTAGCTCTCCAGAAGTGGATTTTTTGCTGTAAAGACTTGTAAATAGTTTCAGAAACTTTTGTCCTCAGTTCCTTTGAGCATCCCGTACACCCCTTACCCCATCCAAGTTTTATTAACCCCTAACATCAAAACAAGCTCAATGACTGGTCACGGTCTCCTGGCTGCAAGTCTGAATGGGGAAATGTGGGGGGGGGGGGGGGGGGGGGGGCGAGTTCGATTTGGTGAGGTCAAAAGGAGCACACAGAATAAGTGCACTTTGTCTTAAAGAAGAACCCTCATGGTCCTGTTAAAAATAATTCTATGTTGAGAAATGTGAGTACACACACAGTGTTAATTTTTGTTTTGACTACAGAGCATCTCCGACAGGGAAGAAGACTGTTGTTTACTAACGGACCTTCTCCGTCAGCTCGGGCACACTGCACAGCACATCCATTCAGAGCAGTGTGATTACAGTGAAGCACCAACACACCGCCCCCTAGTAAAAACGCACCCAGCACACAGTTAACCCTTTGATCGCCCCTCATGTTAACCCCTTCCTGCCCAGTGCCATTAGTACAGTGTCAGCGCTTTTTTTTTTTTTTTTTAGCACTGATCACTGTATTGGTGTCACTGGGGATGTCAGTGACACCAAGTCAGTTCCCCACCCCAGTGCCAGAATGTCCACCGCAGTCCCGCCGATCGCTGCCAGTATATATACCGCCATTTGTAAATGCTATAACCTCACGTAAACCAATTAATTTACACGTATTGGGATTTTTTTTTTTTTTTTTTTTTTAGCACAGACATGTAGTAGAATACATTTTGGCCTAAATTTATGAAGGAATTGGATTTCTAACAATTTTTTTACTGTACATGTTTAATAGCAAAAAGTCTCAAAATTGTCTGGGTTTTTTTTTTTATATGTATATTTTTGACACATTTTTTCGGTGAATGAGTAGGGGTATTATGTACACCATATTCATTCACATGGGGGGAGAGGGGGCAGGATTTGGGGGCCTCCTTGTTAGAGGGAGCTTCCAGATTCTGTTAAGTCCCCTTCCCGCAGACCGCCCAGGGTTGTGGGGAAGAGGCCCTTGTTCCCATCAACAAGCCCCAAAGCACCCCCCAGTTTTGAGGGCAAGTGGCCTGGTATGGTTCAGGAGGAAGGAGGACACTCACTTGTCCCCCATCCTTTCCTGACCTGCCTGGCTGCATGCTCAGATAAGGGTCTGGTAGGGATTTTGGAGAGGACTCCAAAACAAATGGCATCCCACAGACAGCAGCTGAGTCATGGCTGTTAAGGATGTGGCGACCGGACCAGGGGCGGACTGACCATTTGGAAACTCGGGCACTGCCCGAGGGCCCGGGGTCAGTAGGGGGCTCCATGAGATGCCCCTGGTACTTTTTTCACAGGCTTTTTTGAGTTTGGGCAAGGACACATGGGCCCCATGATCCCCTATTACCCGGGGGCCCCATGAGTTGTCAGTCCGCCCCTGGACCGGACAGCAGTCTGCTCCTTAACAACCAGCTATTCTTCACAATGAATTTGGACCAATTTGATATTTTCGTTTCCAATACTTCCAACAATTTTAATCCATTCGAATGCGAATAAACGAAATGAAATTAGTAACTTAACAGAAGCATGGGACTATGACTTTCTCCTTTAAAGTGCTCTTTTCCTGTAAGCCCATGTGTTTGGCCATGCCCATACATGTGCCCATAAATAATTTGTTTTATTTCTGACAACGGTCCGTCACAACTAAACAGACACAATTGAAGTGCAAAAGGTAAAAGGTAGGGGGTCAATGTTCTTTCTTCTGCCATCGATCTTCTGTCGGAATCAGCAGTACAAAACACATTGTCAAACAGATTACTTTAG